CCCCCTCTGGCTCCGGGCCCTTGATGCCTGGAGCCGGCCCCGCTGCCGTGAGCCGACAGCTCGTCCTAGCCGGTGGCACCGATGCTCCGGGACGCGGTAGCGGCCGTGGGCCTGGGCGCCCTTTAGGCGTCTGGCTGCAGCGCGGTTATCGGGGGCTGTGCGGGGATCCCGGCAGGGTCGGGGTGTGCTCCTGCAGGGCTGTGCTGACCCCTTCCTCCCTCCGGCAACACGGGGGTTGAGCAGACGCCTCCGAAAGACGCTGGGGCCAGTGCAGAGGGCAGGGGCCCACACCGGTCCTCCTCCCAGCCCTTGCTGCCCGCTCAGCCTCATGGGCGGCCACCAGCCCGGGACATGGGCACTGACCTGCCTCCCGACCCCGTGCCTGGGAAGAGTCTGCCAACGGCGTCGTCCCCAGCCCCGCCACTGGATGTGGCCCCACAGCCACCCGGCTGAGTACGCTCACTGCGCCAGTCCTGCCGGAGAGCAGTCCCGCTAGACGGGCACAGGAGTTGGGATCTCCAGCTGCAAACATGTGGATGTGAACCGGGGGCACTGGTACCTCCATGGCTGCCTGCAAGGATAGAGCTGGCCTGGCTGTGCCACAGTGGAGGACAGCGTGGTACAGAGCTGGGAGACCAGTACCGGTGGCAGGCAGCAGCAGGCAGTGGGACAGCAGGGCAGGGGCCCCGCACAGCCGAAGCACAGGTTGTCTGAGGGGCACATACCTCCTGCCGAGGCCCAGGCTGAGCCCAGGCACCATGGGCGCACAGCCGGGACTGTCCACGGCAGCTGTGGGGGAAAGCGGGGACAACACTGCCGTCGGGGCCGCGTGCTGTGGCTGCGCGTCCTGTGCCGGCCACGCACCCCTGAGTGGGAGGCTGAGCACAGGGACCGTGGAGTACCACCACGCCACGTGGCCTCCCTGACGTGTTCCCATCAGGTCAAGCTGACAGGAGCACCAACAGACAGAGCCGTGGGGTGGGGAAGCTGCTGGCCAGCATGGGGGTCCATCCTCTGCGGCAGCCAGGGGCCAGGGCCATGCCCACAGCTCCGGGAGCTGCAGAGTTGGCCCTGCCCATCGTGCCGGGGCCAGCAGGTCTCAGGCCGTGTCCCTTTGTCTTTGCAGAGAAGCCTGGCACCTGCCCACCCGTCAGTCCGGGGATCCCCATGCTGGGCGTCTGCACAAACCAGTGCAAGACGGACTCCAACTGCTCCGGGAGCCAGAAGTGCTGCAGGAACGGCTGCGGCAAGGTCTCCTGCGTGACGCCCCTCCACTGAGGTCAGCTGGGCACCCGCCAACCCCAGGGATCCCACAGGACCCGTGGCACGGCACTCGCACGCCCATCCCGCTCACGGCCCTCTCCTTCCTTTGCAGGCACAGCCGTCTCTTGCCAGCCTGGCCGCAGGGAAGCTGCTGCCCGACGCGAGTCCCGCATGCCCAAGCACCGGCCCCGCACCATCCCCACCGGCCCGGCCACGGTCCCGGCTCAGAGCCTTCAGCCTCAGCTTCCTCCCCGGGGTCCCCTGCTCGGGGCACGCCGCAGCCCCCTGCACTCTCACCAATAAAGCAGCCTCTCCCTGCCATGCCCGTGGCCGCCTCTCTGTCCCACCGCGCTCCCGGCCAGGAAGCCGCTCTGCCTGCTCCCGGCCGCATCCTGCCCACCACAGCTGCTGCTGGGCGCCCATGCTGGTGCCAGGGCCGCCTAGAAGGGCTCCACATGACAAGCGCCAGCGTCAACTGGCTGCACCGTGTCTCCGAGGGTCCCCAGCCTGTGCCCCTGCCCAGGGCTGTCCCACAGCCCCATGGCTCAGGCTGCCCCACAGCCCCATGGCTCAGGCTGCCCCACAGCCCCATGGCTTGGGCTGCCCCATAGCCCGGGCTGCCCCGGCATGCTGGCTCCTCTGCCTTTGCGCAGCCACGCTCAGAGCGGGGCCATCGAGGTGCAGCCATGTCCACGTCCCCTTGGATCGGAGCTGCTCTCTGCTCTGCAATGGCCAGGGACACTGCCAGTGTGTGCCATTACATGAGCATCACCCAAACCCTCTCCTGCCCCACACGATCCTGGCCCGGCAGTGGCACATCACCCATGGCAGAAGCCTGAAGGAGCTGTGGGCAGTGAAGCCCACAGACCCCTGCCCCATGCCTGCCCCTGCCCCCTCCCTCCCCTGCCTGCTCAGAGCTGGGCCCCACTCCTGCTCCTGCCTTGCTCTCCCTGGCACCTCCTACTCCTCGCAGGGCTCCTGGCACCCCGGCCCTCCTGCATCCACCCTGCTCCTGCTCCCAGTCCCCAAAAACCAGAGCAAGCAGTTCCACCTGGGGACTGGCACCCCCAGAGCCCCCGCCTTTGGCAGGGGACAGTACACAGCCCCGTGCCTGGTGCCGGTTCCCCCTCTCCCTGCGGTGTGGGCGCAAGCTGGTGCACCCCAGGTCAGTGCCACGGGTCTCCACAGCAGCTCTCCCCGCTCCGTGTGTGCTGGGAGGCGACCAGCGATGCTCACCAGGCAGGACCGGGTGGACATTGAAGACCGGGGACAGGATGCTGCTCCCCTGTGTCCCATCCCTGCTCGCCAGTGGGGAGTGCAGGCACTGGGGCTCTGGGAGCGCTGCCTGGCCCCCCGGCCCGGCTGCTCGCGGGTCACCGGTGACCTGGAAAGGCCGTGCTGTGGAGGATGCGTCAGCCACGGGCTGCGAGCCCAGCGCTGCCCCAGGAGTCTCCCCCGAGCTGGATTGTTCGTGCGCAGCGCTCCCACGGTCCCGATACAGTGCCGCCGTGGGAAGGAGCAGCTCGGTTCGGCCGGCCCCCACCCCAGCAGGGTTTAAATCCCAGCCAGTGGACCCAGCAGCACGGCTCCCCGACAGCAGCACGATGCCAGGCAAGCGCACCTTTCTCCTGGCACTCCTGGCACTGTTGGCGGAGCTGCCACCCACCCTGGCCCAGCAGCACCGTCCTGGGTACCGGAGCACTGCCCCCGCGGTCACCCCAGCACCACGCCGGGCCCCACGGAGACGCTGGCCCCCCGCCATCCTGCCTGTCCCCGGCAAAGCAGGCGAGTGCCCGGCGGGGGCAAGCGGAGCCCCACGCCCCCCCAGGCTGTACTGCCTCTCCGACCACAGCTGCCCCGGTGCCGAGAAGTGCTGCCAGAGCGGGCAGGTCAGGACCTGCCTCCTCCCCACCACAGGTACTGCCGGCTCCCCACAAGAGATACCAGCACCGGGACCGGGCGATGGGTGGGATGCGGGTGGGGGCCGGTGCCTGTGTCGGGTGCCTTTGGTGCGAACCCCGCTCCCTGGGCACGTGGCCGCATGGAGCATCTCCCTCTGCAGAGAGCCCCGGCTACTGCCCCCGCGTCGGCAGTGCCAGCGCGGCGAGGTGCGGGATGAGCTGCCACAACGACACCGCGTGCAGCCCCGGGGAGAAGTGCTGCACCCGCAGCTGCTGCGCCCGCTGCGTGCACGCCGAGCCAGGTAAGGCGGACTGGGTGTCCCCTTGCTGGGCTGAGGATGCCACAGGACAGCCCCCCCGGGTCCACAGCCCCCCGTCACTCTGTGAGAAAGCCACAGGCACTGTGGGGCCAGGGCGGCTGCACGCCGAGCCCCAAGCCTCCCCTCTTCTCCAGCCAAACCCGGCCTCTGCCCGCGGAAGCGCGCCCAGAGGAGCACCGCTGCCTGCCCCAACCGCTGTGCCGATGACCGGGACTGCCCCGGGGACCGCAAGTGCTGCTTCTCCGGCTGCGGGCTGGCCTGTGCCCCCCCGGACACAGGTACAGCCCCGCCATCCCTCCTCCTGGGGCTGGGTGCCCGCAGGCTCCACTCCCCCTGGGGCTGGGGCTCGCCAGACCCGCATCCCCCCTCCCAAGCGTGTGCTCCCCCATCACTGCCCCTGGCTGCCCCATGGCCCCCACAGCCAGCCCGCAGCCGCACTGGTGGTAGCACAGCTCTTCCTCCCCTGCGAAGCCCGGCGTGTGCCCTGCCATGCTGCTGGAGAAGCCCCAGCGGCCATGCCTGGCCGAGCGTGCAGCCGGTGGCAGCCGTCCAGGCCCCGGGCAGCATGTGCCACCGGCTGCGGCTCCCAGTGCCGCACACCCACCCTGGGCACAGCGCTGGCCATCGTGAGACCCTGGGCAGGAGCAGGCCCTCGGGGCGCTGCGGGAAGGGATCCCTGCGCCCAGCTCCTCCGTGATGGGTGGGCGATGGCCCTGGGTGGACACGGGGCTGCACCCCATCCTGCGCCCCCCTCCTGTATCCCCTTCCTGACACCCCCCTCCTGCAACCCATTCGGGCTGGGTGCTGGCGAGGAGTGCAGCCAGGGTTGTCCCTCACTGCTCCAGCTGCTGTCCCATACTGAGCTGTGCCTGGTCTCACTGGGTCAGACTGGTGTGGGTGTGAGGTGAGTGGCTGAGGGCAGCATGGGGCTCTGGGAGGGAGGATGGGGGGCAGGATGGGGACAGGATGGGGGGCAGGATGAGGGTAAGATGGGGGCAGGATGGAGGTCGAGGCTGTGCCAGGAGCGAGGCTGGGGGAAGCAGGATCCCGGCACAGCAGTGGTCCCCTTTGTCACCAGGGTCCCGCCGTGCCGCAGCCAAGCCCGGAGCGTGCCCCGTGGTGCTGCGGGGCTCCCTGGGACCCTGCCTGGAGCTCTGTGACACTGACGGCGATTGCCCCGGGGCCGCCAAGTGCTGCACCACCGGCTGCGGCCACGTCTGCAAACCGCCCACCGACGGTAAAGCCACCGGCGCCCTGTGGGGCTGAGACCCCCCGCATCCCCTCCCTGCCCTGTCCCAGGCTGAGCCCTCCAGGCCAGGGCCGGCACCCCCTTGGCTGTACCCACCCTCCCTTGGGGCTGCCCCTTGCCGTGACCCTCCGAGTGGGCAATGGGAGTACGGACACCCATCTGCTGTCCCCATGGGGCAGGAGCTGGGCGAGAGGCTCACCCCCTGCAGGCAGGGCAGCTCCCCCACCCCAGAGGGGTGCCCTGCCCACAAGAGGTGAGACCCTCACCCCCTTTCTCTTGGTGTGTGCCAGCATGGCCCGGGCTCTGTCCCCCCGTGGCTGATGGTGACCAGGCAGCTGAGTGCCTCCTCCTGTGCCTGCAGGACAAGGAATGCCCCCCCGGCCAGAAGTGCTGCCTGCGGGGCTGCGGCCGGGCGTGTGTGTCCCCGCTGCAGGGTAAGACCCCCCCCAGCCTGCCACCTCCTGGGTCCCAGCAGCCCGGGGGCACCGCACAGGTCTCACCACTGCAGCGGGTCCAGCCTGGAGGGGACTGAGGGGTGCCCAGGGTGGGGGCACGCCAGGGCTCCCCATCCCTCAGGGCGGGAGCACTCATCCTGCACTGACCACCTCATCTGTCTCTTCCAGGCACAGCCTAGCCCTGGCCGGGAAGGGCTGCACCAGGAGCTGCTCTTTCGGGGCCACTCCTCACCCCGCTGCCATCGCACCCCCGTGGGTGAGCAAAGAGGTCCTGCTGCCGGCAGTGCCTGCCACCCCCGTGCCCGTCCCTGCGCCAGACCCTCCACACCGCTGGCAAGATGGCACTGGCATTGCTCTGATGGGCCCTGGCCAGGGTCCCCGATGCCCCCAGTCCCTCCCAGCCATGTCACCAAGGGCTGCGCAGCCCCCGCACCGCGCCACGCCAGGCCAAGGCTGAATCCCTGTCAGCTCCAGCCGCTTCACAGCACTGAAACAGAATAAACCGGCACATGGCCGCTTTCTGCTCCGGATCGCCATCCCTGTGCTCTGCTGCAGGTTCCCGGGAAGCGCAGGCAGCTCTGGGCTGCGCACAGGCAGGGAGGTGCAGGCAGGCACCCAGCCCCTGCAGGCAGGCGCTGCCCTGGGGCAGGGAGACATTCCTGTTTCCATGCGGGTGCCCTCCAGCCCCGTGGTGACCATCCCACCAGGTCCGGGGGCTGCTCCAACGTCCCCTCAGCAGTCAGGGACTGGAGTGCAGAAACCAGTTCCCTCGGATTCCTTGCGTCGAGGAAGGGCTCATTTGCATCCCAAAGTGTGAAAACCTGGTTGGAAAAGCAGTCACGGGTCGGGGTAGATGAAGCACTGGGACAGGGAAGGGGGCAGGGAGCAGCACCCATGTGCCAGGGGACCACGGCAGGACCTGCTCGCTCCCTAGTCCCAGCCCAGCCCCATCACCGTGCTGGGACACCGAGCTGGCCCAGGACACCTCTCCCACCTCATGGTGCCGGATCCTGAGCAGCCCCATGCACGGAGGCTGCGCCTGGCTGAGCCAAGCCATGGCTGCGGGGACACACCATGGTGGCAGAGCCCCTTTGGCTGCTCCCGCTGCAGCACCGGGACCAAGCTGTGGGGTCTGTCCACGGCCCCCACCCCAGGGAGGCAAGGGGCAAGCAGGGCTGGAGGGAAACCCGGGCAGGGGGTCACAGCCAGCTGCGGCGGGGACGGGGCTGTGCACTGCAGGGGACAGCAGCTGCCCGACCCCAGCTGCCCTCCCCGGCCCCGTGGGTCGCCCTGACCCAAAAGCGCGGCTCGGCCGGAGATAAGCGGGATGGCTGGTGGGGCACCGGCGGGTTCTGGGAACTGCCCCTCCTCCTGCCCCTCCTGCTTGTGGCATGGCCAGCATGCCACGGCTGGCAGCCCCGGCTTCAGCTGCCTGGGCACCCCCGCCAGCCCCTGGCCCCGGCTCAGCTCCGGACACGCGCAACATCCCCGGCAGCACCATGAGGCCGGGGGTTTTCCTCCTCCTGGGGCTCCTCATCCTCAGGGCAGAGCCGGGCACTGCACCGGAGGAGAAAGGTGGTGAGTACCAGCAAGCAAAGCTGGCAGCTGCCAGGCACAGGTATCCTGGGGCCAGCTCCTTGCACCCCGGCCCCCCTGAGCCCCTGCCACATCCCCTCTGTCCCTGCCTGGCACATGCTGGTGGGCACCACATCCTGGCCAGCTGCAGTGCCTGCGCCGCAGCCCCACTGCCTCAGGGACCCCACTCCCACCCTGGGCTGCATGGGCACGTGTGCATATCCTGCACCCCCATGTGCATCCCCTGCACTCTGCGTGCACAGCAGCTGTCGGCACCCAGGGGCGCGGCAGGGACCCTCCCGGCCTCGCTGGGCAGCCCCACACCGACACTGGCAGACCTGGATTTGGGACATCTGTGCCCATGGACCCCAGCGCTTGGCCCAGCGCTGAGGAGGGGTCTCTGGGCAGAGCGGGGGCTGCGTGGCGAAGGCAGAAGCAAGGAGGGTGCTGGCAGGGGCTGGGCAGGGGGACAGGGCTGCACGGACCCCCACACCTGCGTCCCTGCAGTGTCTGGGCTCTGCTCCTCACACTGCCCATCCCTTCCCCACCCTTGCATGCGGCCCCCGACCACGGGGACAGACCCAAACCCCGGCAGAGGGGCCCTGGGCTGTGGGTGCCGCTTCCTGGGCACAGACCCCCAGTGCCCGGGCCCCCCTGCCGTGGGGGCGATGCCAGGGGCGGTTGTGCCCAGGTGCAGTACTGTTCTGCCGGCCGGCCCCAAGACAACGTCCGGGTTCCTTCTTTGTTTTAACCAAACAGCTGCTGTTTGGAGTGAAACCTCCCGGCAGCGTCTCTGTTTGCAGCCCAAACAGCGCAGCCCTGCCCGGAGCCGGCAAGGGGTGTTTGCAGAAACTGCTGCTCCCGCGGAATCTCCCTGCTTGTGGGCAGGAGTCAGGCACAGGTGCCAGCTGGAGCTCGCCCACGCCTGTGCCAAAGGCAGGGCTGTCCCGATTTTCCCAGTGTGGCCGAGATGAGCACAGGGTGCCAGGAGGAGGAGGAGGAAGAAGAGGAGGAGCAGGAGGCGCCAGCAGCGAGGAGCATGCCACTTGCAGTGAGGATGCACAGGGCAGCGGGATGCTCAGGGATGGATCCTGACCTCCAGCCAGTGCTGGCTCAGTGCTGGCTTCTCCCTGGCAGGGCCAGCAATGCTCTTTGTGGCGCTCGCTGCCTTGTGAGGGCACACACAGCCCCGTGCCGTGCCAGGCTGTGCCGTGCAGGTCTCAGTGTGGGGGTATGGCAGCCCCAGGGCCATGTTGCAGGGGAGTCTCCAGCCGCGCTCCAACCAGTCCCTCTCCTGTCACGGCAGCAGGGCTGCCTGCACCCCAGGGTCTGCCTGGCAGCCCCAGGCATTGCCATCAGCCAGGCACTGCCGTGCCAGTGCGTGTAAGCCAGGGCCCTGAGAGGCTGAGCTCCTGCCAAGATCTTGCCCCCCCAGGCTGCACTCCCCACTTCGGTCCCCTGACCCCTGCGGGGGGGACCCACGCCCTGCTCCCTGGGGACAGAAGACGAGGAGCTCTGCTGCCTGGTGCTGCCCTGACACCACCGTCCCACCGCAGGGGAGCCCCAGAAGCCGGGGAGGTGCCCGCGGGACTTCACGCGCTGCCTGCGCCTGGAGCCCCCCCTCTGCACCAACGACTCCAGCTGCCCTGGCTGGCACAAGTGCTGCCCCCAGGAGTGCCAGCTCCGCTGCACCCTCCCAGCAAAAGGTACGGCACCGCGGCATGGCCACCAGCACCACCTCTGTCCTGGGGCAGCCGGCACCCTTCTTCTCCATCCCTGTCCCCATCCTTGTGCTGTCTCCATTGCCACGGAGCAGCTCTTCGTGCGCTGCTGGCAGCCTCCTGCCCACGGCTCCCAAGGCCGGCATGGGGCATGTGGAGGGGTCCGGGACGGGGCATGTGGCAGGGTCCAGCCGGGGTCAGACAGAGGGGTCTGGCAGGGGCAGGTTTCCCGGCGCTGCCCCGGGATGCCGCTGGTGCAGCCTCACCTCTCAGCCCCACGCCACTCGGCGTTGCAGAGAAACCTGGCGCCTGCCCGGCGGCAGCCCCCGAGGGGGTCTTTTACCCCTGCTCCTTCCCCTGCCTGGAGGACAAGGACTGCCTGGGAGCGCAGAAGTGCTGCCCGCTGGGCTGTGGTCCTGCCTGCTTGGAGCCGGTGCAGGGTAAGGCCTCCGTGGGGGCCGGCTGGGAGCGCGGCAGAAGGAGAGCCCCAGCTCACCACGGCACGGCCGCAGAGCCCCTCCGTGCTGTAGACATTTGCCACCTCCCCGCCACCATGGGCTCCTGGGGTGGCCACATGCCGCTTCCCCTACACTGGCAGCTCCTGGCAGCTGGGACGCAGCTGCTGGGCATCGGGAGTGTGTGGACCACCCTCCTGGGTGAGGGACCCAGGAGCCCCGGGGCAGGCAGGGCAGCTGGTTGGGGATGCTGAAGCCTCACACTCGCTCTGCTCTGCCAGACCCACCCAAACCCGGGAAATGCCCCACGGCACAGCCGGGGATGGCAGGGCTGTGCTGGGAGCAGTGCCGAGGTGACAGCGACTGCCCCGACGCGCAGAAATGCTGCAACAGCAGCTGTGGCAGCCGGTGCCTGCCGGCAGCCCCAGCCGGTGAGACGGGACAGGACGGGCAGCATGGGCAGGGCCGTGGCTCAGGGACCAGGGGTGATGCCAGCCCATCAGAGGATGCCAGCCCTGCCCCAGCCACCCTGCAGCCACAGCACCAGCAGAGGTGCCGCCAGGACCAGGACTGTCCCCCATCCAAGGTGTGCTGTCACCAACGGTGCAGCCAGGAGTGCCACGCACACAGCCAAGGTGAGGTGGGTGGGAGCCGCCCCGGAGCTTCGACAGCTCTGCCCACCCCTGGTACCCGCGGCTGTGCCTCCGAGCAGTGCCAGGAGCCAAGGGGACGGGGACCCCGGTGAAGCAGGAGGGAAGGACTGTGGGGACCTGCACCCCGGCCGCCTCCGGGTTCCCAGTGCCGAGCTGCCCCACACCGCAGTTGGGACCCCTTGGCATGTGCAGGGCAGACGCTGCCCCAGCCCCACTGCTGCCTGCATTGCAGAGCGGCACCAGGGGAAGAGCTGCCGTGGAGATGGGGACTGCCTGCGCCCGGAGACATGCTGCCAGCACCGGTGCAGCCCTGAGTGCCGCACCGAGGCAGCAGGTGAGTGCCGCGGCTGGGGCAGGAGCCATGTGGTGCCACGCTGCCTCCTCAGCTGCTGTCCCAGTGAGGGCCAGGGCAGGAGGATGTGGAGCAGGGATGGGTGGGCGCCCAGGACTGACAGCGGGGATGGATGCATCCCGGTTCCTGTTGGCATCCCCGGCCCTACATGAAGCCACAAGCCAGCTGCCTCACAGGGGCCCCTACGGCCACGCCAGCCTGGCAGGAGGGCATGAGGTGCCGGAATGACGGAGACTGCAGCAGCAGGGAGACGTGCTGCGGTGGCCGGTGCGCAGAGTTGTGCAGCGCCAAGCACCAAGGTGGGACATAGGGGATGGCTGAATATGGCGAACAACGGGGGCAAGGGCAGCTCCTCTCTGCAGCCCCCATGCCCCACAGCAGAGGGGTCTGGTGCCAGCCTCATGGTTCCTGTGGGAGGAGATGCCGCAGCATTGCCACAGGGCAGAGCCGTGCTGCGGTGCCTGGTGCGCCCGGGGCCGTGGTGCCGAGGTGCCCGCAGTGCTGAGGGGGCTGCGGTGCCAAGGGGGCTTGCGTGCCCCACGGGGGCGTCAGGGCTGCGGTGTGGGTCTGTGCAGCCATCCTGGGGCACTGCAGCCACCCCGCACCATGCCCTGCAGGGAAGGCTGGCTTCTGCCCGGCCCGTGCCGGGCTGTTCCCCAGTTACGACTGCAGAGCCTGGTGCTGGCATGACGCCGAGTGCCCCGGCAAGGAGAAGTGCTGCCTGCACGGCTGTGACTATGCCTGCCTGCCCCCGTCCCGAGGTACGAGCCGCTCGGCCCCACGCCGGGCAGGGTAGGGGCAGGGAAGCAGCGGGCAGGGGTCCCCCCCCCAGCTCTGGGGGCTGCGGGTTTGGGTGAGGGAGACCCACTGTCGTCCCCCAGCCCTGCTGCCCCCTGCCCCCCAGAGAAACCAGGCATCTGCCCCCTGGCCGAGGAGGCACCAACCGCTGCAGCCCCGTGCGGCACCGCCTGCGCTGGGGACTGGCAGTGCCCGGGGGCCGAGAAGTGCTGCAGCAGCAGATGTGGCCACGTGTGCTCAGCCCCTGAACGAGGTGAGGAGGTAGTCACCAGAACAGCGGTGCCGCATGACACCAGGCATGCTGGCAAACCTCCTGCAGGGCAGGTTGTGGGACCGTGCTGCTGCAGGGCAGGCGCTCGGAAGCCCTGGGCTGCAGCCATCAGGGAGCCCCGAGGCAGCGCGGTGGGGGTTCTGCCCCTGCTGCCCCTTCCTGCCCCTCTCAGACAAACCCGGTGAGTGCCCGAAGGTGAAGCCGTGGCAGACGCTGGAGCCATGCGCGGAGGAGGACTCCTGCACCCACGACAGGGACTGTCCCCGGCAGGAGAAGTGCTGCTTCTCCGGCTGTGCCATGCGCTGCACCCGCCCTGCCCAAGGTGAGCGCGGGCAACCCGGCCACCGGCACAGGGCAGTGGCACACGAGCGGGGCTGGGACCCCACGTCTTCGCCCGGGTCCCCTTCTCCTACAGAGCACCCTGGGGAGTGCCCCCGGGCAGAGCCGTGCTGGGACCCGTGGCGCAGGCGCGGGAGCCAGTGCCTGGATGACAGTGTCTGCCGGCGAGAGGAGAAGTGCTGCGACACCGGCTGCGGCTGGGAGTGCCTGGCTGTGCCCAGAGGTAGCGGGAGCAGCCAGTCTAGGGGGAGGTGACCGCCAGCCCCCCGAGGGTGGCTGGGTGACAACGGGTCACCATGCCCCTGCAGAGAGCCAGGACAGGGACGGCAGCCCGTGCGTAGAGGAGTGCGAGGCCGACTCGCAGTGTCCCCAGGGACAGAGGTGCACCAGCACCGGCTGCGGCCACGTCTGCATGGACATCCCCGGAGGTGAGAGCCAGCCAGGCTCCCCGGGAACCATGCAGGGCCACCCCGAGGTGCCCCACGGTGGGGTGCCCTGAGCCGGGTGCCCCCCAGCCAGGTGCTTGCCTTGCAGGCAGAGTGGGAGTGTGCCCCATCCCCAGGGAGGCAGGGACGTGCCTGGACCTGTGCAGCTTCGACGAGGAGTGTCCCTGGGGCCACAAGTGCTGCAGCAATGGCTGCGGCCACGTCTGCATGCCAGCTTCTCTGCAAGGTCAGGCCCTTGCACTGAGGCATGCGTCCCCCCACCTGGCTGAGCCCAGCGGGGACAGAGCCCGGGGTCCCCTTGGCACCGACCCTGCAGGGGCATCCTGGCCCCCCCTCCCCAGCGAGGTCCCCGCACCATGACCACGCTGGAGCCCCGTGCTGGGGGCTGCTGAGGCAGCTGTGCCTGCGCATCCCGCACCCTCCCCGCTCCAGGGACACATTCTACCCCGCGTCCTTCTTTCTATGCATCCTCCTCTTTCCGTGCAAGTGATGAGCATCCACAGCCTCCACTCAGAGCCACCATGTCACTGTCCTCTCCTGCCTGCAGAGCGCGATGCCGCGGCTGTGCCGCAGCACGGTGCCGAGCCGTGCAGAGAGGAGTGCGAGGCTGACTCGCAGTGTCCCTGGGGACAGAGGTGCACCCACACTGGCTGTGGCCGTATCTGCATGGACAGCCCCAGAGGTGAGATGTGGCTTGGCCAGCCAAGACCCAGACATTGCCCCGGGAGCCATGGGGTGTCCCTCAGCCGGGTGCCCCACAGCAGGGTGCTTGCCTTGCAGGCAGAGAGGGAGCGTGCCCCATCCCCAGGGGCCGCGGGACATGCCTGGACCTGTGCTGCCTCGACGAGGAGTGTCCCTGGGGCCACAAGTGCTGCAGCAACGGCTGCGGCCATGTCTGCACACGGGTGCCTGGTGGTAAGGGGGCCCAGGGCTGCCGAGCCACGGCTGGCACCGGGGCTGGCACCGGGGCATGTGGGGTGCCAGCTAGACCTGTGTGAAGGGTACAGCCCTCAGCATGGTCCCAGCTTGGCAACACCACAGGGCCGGTTCCTGCTGCTGCCCCATTGCTCTGCTGCCAGCAGAGATGCACTTTCGGGGTGAGGGGACCCAAAGGGACATGGAGTAGGATGAAGCTCTCACCAGAGCTGGCCGTGCTCAGCTGCAACCGTGGCTGCTGGTCCCTCTCCCCCCACAGCCTCAGGGCTCGCTAAAAGCATGTCCTCCTTTTTAGATGCTGTGTGACAGGAGAGCAGCTCCTCTGCGGCAGGAAGATGCCTTCGTTAGGGAACACGGGGCGGTCACAGGCCCCAGCTGGCCTGTCCCTTCCCCACCACCTCCAGCAATAAAGCGTGTGCGTGGCTGCCTCCAGCTGCCTCCGAGTCTTGGCAGCGCTGGGCTGGCCCCACCAGGCCCTGGGATGGCCCCTCGTGCTCCTGGAGCAGCCCCAGCATCGTCCAGGGCTCGCCGGGGAAGGGATGGTCCCGCCAGGGCTGGGGCCAGGGGACTTAGCCCATGCCAGGTTTGGTGCCACGGGGCCAGCGAAGCGATGCAGACACAGACCCGGGCTGCGGGATGGGCACCACCCCGGGCATCCATCAAGGCAGGGGCCGTTCCTCCTCTGTTAGGTCGCTTTAGCTCCCAGCCAGGTCATGTCGGCAGCTTGAGGGCAGATCTGGGGCTGGGACCCCATCCAGAAGCAGCAGGAGCTGCAAGGTGGTGGCCGGGGCGAGACCTGGGGCTGCCATGCGGTGCGGCTGAATGCACCCATCACCCAGTCCCAGCAAGGGAAGGCGGCCCAGAGGGACGGGCGCTGCCTGCTCCTGCCCGCACGGGCAGGAAGGACAAGACCCAGACGTGCTCAGCCACGGACCCGTCCTTGTATTGAAGTGTCACAGCCCCAGGGGAGGGCTGGGCTCCTCCGGCCACACACCACGGTGCAGGAGGGGACAGCCGTGCTGCTGCGGGCACGTTTCCCTGCCCTCGGGCTGGCAAGCATCCACGGGTGAGCCACAGCCCCCAGCACGGCTGCCCTGGGCAGCGGTGCTCATCGCCGCCAGCCCAGCGGGGAATGGGTCCCTGCGGGGACGGGGACATGGCCACTGGCTGCAGCTTCCCCTGGGCAGGGGCCGTGCTGAGGCCACCGTGCTCCCTGGGCCGGCGCTATCGGGCACCTGGAACTGAGAGATGGGGGGTCAGGAGCGGGGCTGGAGCAGGCATTGCGGGGGGCAGGAGCAGCCACCGGCCGCAACACATGGCACGCACACACGGCACACGGCTAGTTACCGATGTGGGAGCAGGCTCGGAAGCACTCGCCCTCGGTCTCAAAGTTGTTCTTGTTGCCGCCGCAGCCGCCGTAGATGAACTCCTCGCACTGCTGGCTGGAGGCGTTGAAGAAGAAGCGGCGGAAGAGTGCCTTGCAGCTCCCGCAGACGGAGGGCAGGTAGCAGAAGTCTGCGTGGTCCAAGGGGGATGGGCTGAGCCAGGAATGGGACAGGGACGCCACGGGGCTCGGCACACCTGGGGCCCTCAGAGAAGTCTGCCCAGCTCCGGTCCCTTCTCACTAGTGAACACTTCGCACCAGCAGCCAGCTCTGCGCCTGCCCGCCCTACAGCCCCACACACCAGCAGCCTGGGCGCTCCCCCACCACACAGCGTGGTGCCCCCCCAGGGTCTGCAGGACCCAGCAAGGGCTTGGGGCACCCCAGGGAACCCCCTTCCCAATCTGCTTGGCTCACCCCTCCCGTCGCCCACCCCTGCGCTCACCACGCTGCCACTCCAGAGCCCCACCGCTGCCGCACCGAGCCCTCACCCAGCACCGGCTCCTGGCACGTGTAGCCGCACTTGCTGGGGCAGCACTTGGTGGCACCGGGGCAGCCGGCATCACTGGTGCAGTGGGAGCAGGAGGCATCCCTGCGACAGGCACTGCAGTCTTCATTCAGCAGGTCCTCCACCTCCGGGATGTGGTAGCAGTACCCGGGCTTTGCTGTGGGACACAAAAACCAGGACGCTGGGGAGGGCTGCAGAGCGGGGGGCTGAGCAGCCCCTTAGCACCCCAGGGCTGGACCCCCAGCATCCGCAGCCCCATGCCCCTTTGGGCACCCAGCACCATGTGGGGCAACGGGGAGCACCAGGCGGCAGCGGAACCCAGAGCATCCCTGTCCCTGGGACGTGCCCCGGGCGCACTCACCCATCCCCGGCTCCTCTCTTCCATCTGTGTGCGGTGCCGGGCCAGACCGTGCGGCGAGGGGAAGCAGGGCTGCGAGGAGGAGGAGGAGGAGGAGGCGGCCGGGCGGCAGCTCCATGGTGCCCTGGGTAGCCAGATCTGGGCCCCGGGCGCAGTGGGCTGGGATTTAAGGTGCGCGGGCGGGGCGGAGGGAGCGGGGCTGGCGCCGGAGCCTGGCTAATTCCTGCCATGCGGGTAACGAGACACACCCAGGCAGGGCCCGGCCTCCCCGGTGGCATCCCAGCCACAGCCCTCGAGCCGGGGGGACCGGTAGGACGGGACGGCTGACCCGGCGCAGCCCTCCGGGAGCCCGGCTGGGCGGCAGTGGCATGCCCGGGCTGGGTTGGGGGCACCACCGGCGCCCACCCGCAGCCCCTTGGGGATGAACCAGTGCTGGGGGGATGTCGGCGTCGGCCTCTCCGCTGCCAGTGAGCGTGGCAGTGTTGTGCGAGGGCATGGAAAGCCATCAGCTCCGGCGCAGCCATCAGCCAGGGAAGGGTCTGCTCTCCCGGCTCTCCCTGCGGTGCAGGTCCTCGGGAAAGGCTGTGTGAGAGCAGTGCAGGGGACGTGCCCCTTCTCCCTCACTCCCTCACGGCTGACAGAGAACATCCCAGGCGGGATGGTCCCACACGTGGGGCTGAGCCCGTGGGTACCATCTCGCTTGCCAGTCATCGCTGCTGTGGAAGGGATGTCCTGCAGGACGGTGATGCTCCCGTCCGTCCCCCCCCTGCAGGCACCATCGGCCCTTTGCCACCCACTTCACCACCCTCTCCTGGCTTGGGGCCATCCCCTTCACCCGCTCCCCTCCGGGGGATCTGCCCGTGCAGAGCCGTGCCCTGTGCCCCCCCAGCATCCCCCCTGCTCCCGGCAGCAGGTCGGGGTCCGGCGTCTGCATGGTGCTGGCATGAGGGGCATCCCCAGGAGATGGGACGCAGGTCGCAGCCTGCCCGGCTTCCAGCCAGGGGTCTGGACCCACGGCAGCGCAGGGCTCCCGGCGCTGGGCTGGGTGGCGGGCAGGTCCCCGGCATCCTGCCGGCACCCGTGGGCGGGCGTGGGATGAAACCTGCCAAAAGGAGGGAGAAACAGATTAAGCTGTTCCCATTCAGCAGGAATAATTGTCTTCCTAATTACTGCCGTAATTATTGTCCCAAGGGGGAAGGGGAGGGCGAGGAAAGCTCCGTGGGGAGAGGCCAGGAAAGTCAGACCAGGGGTGGGGTTTGGAGGGAGGCACCACGACCCACCCGCGACCCACGGCAGCTTTTCCCTGCCTCTCCTCCAGAGCTCCAGGACAGAGACCCCGGCAGCATCCCCAGTACAGGACACGGCGATGTGACAAAGCCCGAGTGGGGCAGGAGTAAAGTCAGAGTGACATGCAGTGGCAGTTGAGGGGTGCAAGGTCAGGGTGGGCAGTGGAAAAGGGACCCCTGTGCAGGGACCGTGGTGGTCCCGGGGCTGCGGCTCAGCAGCTGCCCTCAGCACATCTCCCACAACCTTGAGCTGTCCAGGACATTCCCGGTGGCACCAAAACTCCCAGCCCCACACACCGCAGGAGGGCAGGGCCACGACACCAAAATCCACCAGGGCTACATTTTTCCCCGCTATCTCTCTGCGGTATCTCAGCTGCCCGGGTGATCACTGTAACGACTGACATCATCCTCCAGAGCAGCCCCTGCTGTCCCTGCACTGGTGGTAACACCATGGCTAAGCTGGGCAGACATCGTGGTGGACGTGGAGCCAGTCCCACTGGTGCTGGGGTTCGGGACAGCACAGGGGGTGAGGTGGGGGCTGCTTCCAGGTAGATATTGGGGTTGCACACAACAGAAAACTGTGCAGTGCCCATGGGGCACCCGTGTCAGTAACCCCTGCCCTGCCCTGCCACCCTGTCCAGCTCACACGGCTGGGGACGCACAGTGTGAGTAATGGGTGCAGCCGCGCGGGGCAGAGCCACCGGCCAGACCTCCACCGCAGCGGAAACAGTGACCAGGGCAGCCTGGCCCAGGGAGCACCCAGGAATGTGGCACCTCCCAGGGCAGGCACCCAGCAGGGGCGGGGATGGGGACAGAAACAGCGCTGTGCCACCGGGATGATGCTCCTGCCCAGACCAGGGTGCACGGCAGGAGAGGTGCTGGGGGAGCCGAGAGGCAGAGCGGGTTCCCCCGGCTGCAGCACATCCCGGCTGGCCCCACACGGAGCCTGCTGGCCTGTCGGGATCGATGCTCACCGGGGCTGACACAAGCTGGGCACTGTCCCTGCTGCCCACCCAGGGACAGGACAGGGACAAATACTGCAGGGAGCGGAGACGCCCCGGCACAGCAGAGCCAGTGCGTCCCGCTGCTCCTCTTCTCGTGGCTCCGTGTGCTCCCAGGATGTGTCATCCCGCCTGTGTGTCACCTCCATCCCGCACACAGGGACACACCGACGGGAGAGGGTCCCCACATAGCCAGGGGCTGGCAAGCACATGGTGCCACCCAGCCAGCCTGGACTGCGGACGAGCACGCAGGGTTTAGATGGCACGTGCACATGCAGCGTGGGCTGTACACACACCAATGCACGCACATCCATACGGAGCGTGGACTGCACACGCACGCACACGCACACACACGTGTCCACACCTGGCCAGCTTGGATTGCACGTGCACACACACACATATGCCTGTGCAGGCAGCCTGCCCAGCCGAGCGTGCCGGAGCCCTCCGGCCTCTCGCAGGGACAGGCGCTCCCGGAAGGGAGCCGGCAGGGAAAGCCCCAACAGCTCCGGTGCTTCCATCCTTGCAACACGCCGCACCAGCGGACCCGCCTGCAGCCCCATGCGGCGCTGGCACGGTGCAGCCCTGGGGACAAGCAGCAGCTCCCGGGACAGCCCCTGCCACCGGTGCAGCCTGTGGCACGCTTGCAGAACCCCCACTCGGCATGGTGTTGGGGGTGGCTTCAGGGCCCCCGGGAGAGCCAGGGCCTGAGCGATTGCCGTGGGGCTCCAGGCACGGGCAGAGCTGTGGGTGGGAAGCGCAGCCAGACCCCGGGAAGGGCTGTGTGCCTCCGAGTGACGGTGCTGGTGCAGATCCATGCGGGTGGCCACAGGGGCCCGGGGGGCTGGTCCCGCCAGCCCCATGGAAGGGAGCGGGAGGCAAGAGGCAGCTCCAGCACCGCATGACAGGGACCCGGCCACCTGCTCCGGCTCCAGCAAGGATGTGGGACCCCATGCTGCAGTCCCAGTGCCCAGTCAGAGCCCCCATGCAGTCTCCAGCTCCCTTCCCCCAGCACCGGGACCCCGCAACCCTGGCCAGTCCTGGTCCCCAGCTGCCACCCCAAGGCGAGGGGCTGGGTGGGCACCGGCTGGCCAGGAGGTGCGGGGCTGAGGGGCCAGTGGCAGCGCAGGGCTGTGGACCGTGTCTGGTCACAGGATGTCCCTTGGGAGCCAGCGATTGTTCCCAGAGGCAGAACAATGCCCGGAGAGCTGCCAGGGCACCACGGGCTGCTCCACAGCACCCAGCCCGGGAGCCACCTCCGCTGCCTTGGCAGGGCCAGCCACATGCCGGGGTCCCCTGGCCCCTTGCTGCTGCCTGTCCCGTACCTGTTGCCCACAGTAGGAAGCTGTGCTGGCTGCTCTTGTCTTGTGGCACAGCATTGCATGGCACGGCATGGCATTGCATGGCATGGCACAGCATTGCATGGCACGGCACGGCATTGCATGGCACAGCATAGCATTGCATGGCATGGCACGGCATTGCATGGCACAGCATTGCATGGCACAGCACGGCTCTCTCACGGCTGCAAAGAGCCCAGCACCAAGCTGCAACACCTTTGTGCCTCCCCGCATGGCTCACCCAGCACCAGCAGCCCATGGGAGGGAGGGGACCGGGGAGTTCACACTCAGACGGAGCGTGCCAGGCACTGGGGCACAGACCGGGTCACTGGGACCAACATCCAGCCCCATGAGGATTTAAACCCCTGCCTGTGCCCGGACAGGCAGCCCCCACGCTGTCCGCCCTGCGCCATGCGGCTGCTGTCGCTGCTCCTGCTCCTGGGGCTCTGCTGCCTCTTGGCCCGGCTGGTGTCCGCAGGTGAGCGCAGGGCGGGCGCGGGGTGGGCGCGGGGTGTGCACAGGGAGCCGGTGGGACGGTGCTGAGGGAGGATGCGCAGCCACATGCACAGGGACAAGCGCGACCATGGCTGGGGTGCAGCGTCCCACACAGCGGTGCCGTCTCCCCGCACATCCTTGCACACTGCAGAAGCGACCGGCAAACCCTCCCGACAACTCCCCTGGGAGGGGAGCCCAGGGTCTTGGGAGCCCTCGCTCCCAGGGCCCCACTGCGGGGCTGCCAACGCACCCCAGTGTGCTCCGAAGTGAGATCCTGGGACGTGGATGCTCCTGTCTCTCCCCAGGATTCACCTAGCCTGGACCCGGACTGAGGACCCAGCGTATGCAGCCACCCAGCACCAGACGGCCAGATGGCCATGGAGGGATCCATCAGCTGCTGGATAAGCACTCGTCCCCCAGTCTCACCTCCACCGCCTCACCCTCAGCTCCATGCTGAGCATCAGCATCTCTGTGTCCCTCCCACCCCCCGGTAAACCCAGTCTGTGATGAACACTGGCTGGCTCCTGTTATGTCAGTCTCCTGGCGAGCCTTCACTGGCCTCCATGGGACCTTCAGCCCCTGCGGGAGGGATGGGGTCCCGGGCAGGGGCTATGCCACCGCAGCCAGCGGGTCCCCAGGGACCTGCACATGAATCCTGCCCAAACTCCATGGGTCCATCCATACCTGCCGGGACCGGGCTCGTTCCTATTCCTGGAGACCCTCCTGGGAGCAGGTGCCCAGTGGGACCCCTTTGTGCCGCCAGAGAGGAGCTGGGCTTGCCCCAGAGCCATGGCAGCACAGCCAGCCCTGACCTCACCTTGGTATGGCTCCACAGCAGGAGTGTCGGGGCTGCCCTGAGTCCTCAGGGGTCAGCTGGGGGTGCCCCTCACGTCCTGCACAGTCAGTGGTCCCCCAGCTCCTGACCCTGCTGCCAGCACAGCATGGTGCGGCACAGCAGGCACAGGCAAGGCTCCAAGGGGTGCATGAGCTCCCAGCACCTCG